GATAGCAGAAAGAGTCACTACTGTGAGGGATTTTAAGCTGCTGAGGTGATTTTATAAAATATTATGGAGGGAAACGGATTCCAGGAGAAAGGACTTCCAGCTCCTGCAACCCTCTTGCTTTTAAGAGGAAGCCTTCTGGGAGGTATCACGTTACAGCGTAGCAGTTAAGAACATGAATTTTGTTGAGTCCCAGCCCTTCCCTTAGTAACTGTATTACATCGGGCAAGTCACTTAACCTCTCCTAGCCTCCTTTTCTTCGCCAGTCTCATTGCTAGCCATGGTGGTCCAACAAGCAGAGAGAGAACAGATGACAGTTTGTGCAAAAAAGGGCAACTTTGGTGATTAGGAGTTAAAAATCTGCTCGAAAGTTCCCTGATTGCTTCTTAGTTTACAGAATTGAGGCTGAGGGTTGTTGTTAAGGAGGGGTGAGGGAGAGAAGAGCTGACGAAGGCTTGGAGAGAGTAATGAGAGTTTGTGGGGGGAGGAGAGAAAGGGGTTGGAGCAAGACAAGGCAAATTACCAGGGGTGCTGATGGCTCAGTGAGAGTACAGAGCCTGACCTGGAGCAGCAGCAGCACTCCCAGAGCAGGGGGTTCAAAGGAGCCCGGGATGCTGACGCTGTCACGTGATGGCTGGGGTTTAAAAAGGTTAAATCACTCAGTGAGGGTCACAGAGATTTTTACACACGTGGCCTGCTCCAAGTCCAGTGCTCTTTCTAACCTGTAACAGGAGATCTGGGCCTGCCCCTATTCAGCTCCTTTGGGCCTCATCTTTCTAGTTTGCGAAAACCACTGGGTCAGGTGATTCTGAAAGTCCTAGTCCTCTAGGACCTTATAACCGGAGGGAAATAAATGCATGAAGTTTGAATCAAAGCACTCCGAAGCCTGGGACTCTTACAATGAGCAGCTGTCAGGTGCTGCTCCCCGATCTGCCTCCCACTAGTTAGGTTACATGTCACTTTGAGCAAGTCACTCAAACTCTCTGGCTTGTTTGTGTAATTAAATTATGTTCCAGAGGCTGGAGTTCTAAAGTGCTGATTCTGTGAAAAGGCAGTCTTGTGCTGTGTCGATGAGTGGCCCCCGGTTATCAGGAGCTCTGATACCTTCACAGCACCTCCTCCCTCAGGAAGGTCTATCCGGCTCTGCATCCATGTCAAAGACTAACACAGCTCACCTCAAATATTTGTCACTGGCCCTCGCCAAAAATCACTTGAATTACATCGGCAGTAGTCCAACACCACATCCAAACATGGCAGAAAGTTGTAAAAGAAAACGATAGCACGTTTTAAGATAGAAAACACTGTGTAGAAAAGGAAAATAAATGCATGAATTTGAACCAAAACACTCGGAATGCCGTGACTTACAGTGAGGAGGTGTCTGTAATAGACCAAGACCCTTCCGATGAGTGGGTATTACCTCTTTGTCTAGGACACTAGAGAAAATTCCTGTACTGCAGATCCCTTGAATACTGCTTTTAATAAAATGCCAGAGAGCCATAGAAATAGCCTATAATTCATTAGGAACTAAAAGGCTAATGGAGAGTTACAGTTTTCATCGGTGAGGGCGCTTTCCCAAACTCATCGGTGGAGATAGATTTCCTCGCGGGAGGCAGAACGGTGATTTTTTTTTAACCGACAATAAGCGAATTTATTTTTCATCACTACCTTTCCAGTACTTTCGTACTCAGTTATAATGTAAAGTTAGGCCTCGAGCCTGGGGTCCCAGCGAGGATATTCAGTCACTCGTCTTAACTGCGGACACCCCCAGCCCCGGTCTAACCGGGGTCGAGCTCCCACGGCCTGCGGGAACCGAGAAGCTGGAGAGTGACGCGGCGGTCGGGCTCCCCGCG